CCTGTGAAGTTTTCTCTTAAGACTGTAGAGTGCTACCTTCACGTGTAGCCTTTGTTCCTCAGAAAGATGAAGATGAAGGATTGTCTTCAAAACCAGTTTGGCATCCATAGCTACATTTGAGATACAGAAATTATATGTACTGCACAGCCAGGAGGCTACTCCAGCATCTCCCCAGACGGCTTCAAATACATGAAGATGTATTTGATCACAGGCCTTCTTTTTTAATTTTCCCTACCACAAAACCTGTTAACCTCTAAGGAGAACTTTACACTTTGGAGTTTAGGTTTTAGACATAAGATATTGGTTGGTTGGTTGGTTTCCAGATCTAGTCTAAACATGATACCGCAGATCTTGAGGCTTATAGAACTTGGGCTGACTTCAGTCAAAATTCTATTTTGTGCCAAGGTTTAATTGAAGTATAACATACAAGAAAAGGCACAAAGCATATAGCTCAATGGATTACATCTACTTAGCATCTTAGAAGACCCCCTCCGTATTAGTTTCTTAGGGCTGCCATAACAAAATACCACATACTGGGTGACTTAAAACAATAAAGATGATTGCCTTGCACTTCTGGAGGTCAGAAGTCTGAAATGAAGGCGTCAGCAGGGCCATCCTCTGAATCCATGGCAGAGTCCTTCGTTGCCTCTTCTTTAGCTTCAAGTGGTTCGTCGGCAGTCTTTGGCATTCCCTGGCTTGCAGCTGCATTGCTCCAGTCTTTGACTTTGTCATCACGTGGCATTTCCCTGTGTGTCTCTTTCTTCTTATGGCCTCTTCTAAGGATACTAGTTATACTGGATTAGGGGCCAAACCTATTCCAATATGATCTCACCTTAACTAATTACATCTGTAATGACTCTATTTCTAAATAAGGTCACACTCTGAGGACTAGAGTTTAAGAGTTCAACATGTTTTGTTTTTTTGTGGTGGGGGGCAGATTGACCCAAATATCCACCATGCTCCACCCCAGTCAATACACTCCCCTCTTTCACGAAGGTAATTAATAAAAGATCTTTTAAAGTAATAATAACAAACCAAATCAGTGGTTATAAGCAAGGGGATTATGATGTAGACATTCAGTAACATCCTTTATACCCTACCTGGACACACATGGAACTTTGATGTTTTTGTCCTTGCTTCTAAATACTGATTTTGATTGTTTTAATTACAGTACCTGAGTCAACAGATACAATATTAACATGCAGATTCTCTCTAGTTTTGCCCTAAGAAGTTCTTCTAAAACCTTCAGTCAACCTGTTTGCATTTTAGCGCTGTTACCTCTTCCGTAATACCTTATACTGTTTTTTCCCAAGTAGTTGTTTACAGAAAACCTTCAAGAACATTAAAAAAATCAGTATTGATAAAAAATATTTATGTTTTTATATTATAGTCCCAGCTTCATAGTGTTAGAGACCGCCTGAGCCTAATTTTTTTTTTTTCTTTTCTGGCAGAATAGCGTGTCCTTAAAGTGTCTCTCCCATAAAATGGACTGCTATGCATCTTCCTGTTGTATCTATCTAAGGAATAGCAAGAGGATTTATAAATTACCACAAAAATTCGAAAATACATATAAATTTTAAAAGAGAAAAAGTGAAGAATTTTATAAACAAACTTTTTTTTCTAAATGATATCACTAAACTTTAATGGTTATATATTTTTTTTCTAAATGATTCCAAAAACAATTAGCCCATCTTGTATGAATAAAGACAACACACAAACAGCCTCGCAGACTAATAACTTAAACCTTTGCAGCCTAGAGAATAATAATCAATGAGTAAACAGAGGCTTGGAAGAGTTGTGTGACTTGCCTAAGGTCACACAGTAAGATCAGTGCAAGCAGAGACTTTTAAGTGTTGATGTTTTTAATTCTAATCTTGGGAAGAAACGTGTTAGTCTTTAGTTCACATTGACTGCGAGGATGATCTTTTTTTGATTTGAGAAGACAGAAGTTCCAATGTCAAGCACAAAAGAAATGGGAGGGTCAAAACCTTTTGAGCACCTTGTAATTCTGACATCAAGCAGTGTCCAGAATTCATTGGAAGACACAGTATGTAGGTAGCTATGAAAACAATTTTAAGGCAAAATTTTGCAGATATACTCCTCACCTCCCATAAAACATCTTAAATATCAAAGGCAATTTTGAAAAGTCTTTTAGTTTGTGTTTTGTAAAGATAATAGACCAGTGATTAATGTATTAAACTTGCTGTTTGGCGCCATATTGGGTCTCAGAAATGACCTGGCACGATGAATGATTCTTTTTTAGAAGGATTAATGAGTGTGTAATAAATTTTCTTTCTTTCTTTTTCTAGCCAAGGACCCTTGTCATCCATTAGAGCGGTAATCAAGAGATGTAAGTTTGTTTTTTCCTGTTCTGTATTTTCCTCTGTAATAATTTTAAATGATGGTTTAGATTTCTAGCAAGTGATTGCATTTGATGAATCTTACAAAGACTCCAACAAGAAGAGCTTCTGTTAAAGAGTAATAAACCATTACAGCCATGCAACTAGTTTTTCAACTTTCTTTTCAACTTTTCTTTATTGATAAGCCAGTTCCTCAGAACAGTATTTTTCTCTTGTAAAACTAAGCTGTTAAAAAACAAACAAACAAACAAACTGGATTATCTAGTCAGTTTCTATGATCTAATATAAATTTTATGTAACTATTTTCTATAGGTAGGAACATCTGATGAGTTTTTAAAATATCAAAGCCTCTCCTTTTTGATTCATTTGCTTCCAGAGTATTTTTATTTAACTGTAAATATCTGTGGAGAACATAGTAGACAGATAGAAGTGCTGTAGTAGAAGTCTCTCCAGAACAGTAGATTCACACTAACTTTCCCTCTTGGCTAAAGTTTTAAAACTTGCTCTTGGTGTGTAGAGTTTTAAGATCTTTTTAAATAAAAGACTGTTAAGTTCACTTTTTCAAATAGAACATGGATTACCTATTATAAAACAAAGAAAAGAAAGGGGTTTTTATATGTTCTTTACATTACTTGAGCTGAGATCACCACCATGAGGATAATGTATATTATTTTTGGAAACATAATTCTGTAATATTTAATATGAATTTAGGGTGTCCACAGGTTGTGAAGTGCATGCATCTGAGCTCATTGTGGTGAATAGTTTGTATGGTGGCAATATAGAAAGATATTCCACATTTCCCCACATTTCATTTTTGTTGTTGTCGATGGTGAATTACAAAATTGTGGGAATGCCACAGTGTGTACTGAAGGGAGTTCAGATACGAAGATGAAAAATTCATGATAGCTTCACATACCTTAGAGCCCTTTGGGTGTGGGTGGGGGGATGGGGGAGGAAGGGAGAAAATTTAAATAGGAAATTACAGTCTAGAATTTAGACAAGAATTTCTTCCTGGAGATACAGTTTGGGCGTGATCAAGGTTATAGGCAAAATCCTGGGAGTAGCTAAACATTTAGGGAGAAAGTGTGCAGGATAAAGAAGATGACAAAGGACAGAATCTTGGGAAGCAGTGATGTCTGGGGTCAAGCTGTGCCTTTTAGGTGCCATAGGGCAAAAGATACATGACCTAGAAAACCCAGCTCTGCTGAGAGGAGGGCCTGCTTTCACTGGGTCCTGTCTGCTGGCTCTCGCCTTTGTTCTCTGGCTTCTTACTTTTCCTCTATCTTGGGTTTCAGGATTTCTTTGTTGAGAATTGTAATCTGTACTTGACTTCCCCCTAGCTCTTTCAGGATGGATTTTACTTACCCTGAGGCCCTATGCCATGCAAGCTTTAAGGAGAAGGCAGCTAAGGAGAAGTGGGCAAAAAAAGGCTGAAAAAGAATGATCAGTATAATAGAACAGCTAGGGGACCACTGTGTGTTAGAGGTCAAGGGAAGTGAGGTTTTCCAAAAACATGAGTGAACCACAAATAGCTGTTACTGCTGCAGCAAGGTCAGGCAAAAAGGCTGCTGAGAATGGGTCATTGTATGTGGCACTTAGGAAGTCAGCGGTGACCTTTGAGAGAACAGTTTCAGTAAAACATTGAAGCTGGAAGTCACACTTCAATGAGAACAATGAATGGAATATGTGGAAGTTGGGACAGCTGGAGTAGGCTACTCTTATGAAATTTGGTTGGTAAACAGGAGAAGGAAGGAGACTGTAGCTTGAGAAGGGACGAGGGTCAAACAGAGAGGAGATCCAAACATATTCACAGACTGTTTAGGAAGAGGAAGCTTGGAGGCCTTTGTAGGCAGCAGGGAAGGGATCAGTGGAGAGATCGGACTAGCCAGAGAAAAGGAAATTGGCGAAGTAGGCCTAGCAGAGAGGAAGGAGAAGGTGAAACAGAGGGAAAACTCTTGCTTTGAGGAATCTCTTTTAAAAAACAACCCAGTTATCTTTTAATTTTTTGTATGCATTTCTTTGTATATACTAAAGAACTATTTGCTGGTTGTCTTTATTGCTGATGTTTAGATAAGAAGGCCAAACACATCCTCACATGATGCCATGTAAATACAGATTGAAGAATAATCATGCCATTCTTTCTCTTTTTCCCTTTGCCCATTCTCCAAGAAGTTGTAAATAATTTCTGTATTACCCAACCTACTGAAATGTTTGCTTTCCTCTCCCAGACTCAATCACTGAACACTGTCAAGGAGAAAGACTTTATCACATTTTTAAAGCAATATCACTTAAATGGTTATAGTTTAAATTATTTCATAATGGGTCTGGTTCCAGTCAAGCCTTGAGGTCTTCCTTATTTCATTCATTCTTATGAGCCCTTGTTACTTTGGGTAACGATCTTAAAAGTGTTCTAACTGGATATCATGCTTTTCCTTTCATTAACTTTTTAAAAGAAAAATATTCTTTGAAATTTAGATTTAGCTAATATTCATTGCCTACAGTAAGTCAGGAACTGTTCACATATGTTATAAAATAATGCTCTGCGTGGTAGGTATTAACTTCATTTTACGGATGGTAAGGGCACTGAGTCTCAGAGAGGTTAAATGACTTCACAAGGTAGAGCTGAGATGTGAACCTATACTTTCTGGCTCCAAGACCATGAGCATTCCGCTCCATGGATGTTCTTGTTATCATGGCAGACATATTTAGCTCATATCCTATCTCAAGCAGTTGTAGTTAGTTATTTTTTATTATTGTGATTTTCATTGGTAAGGTAGGATTATAGCAAGAACGCTTATAATGTAATAATCCTTCTATGTGTTTATTTCTTCTGACCATCATTTAAGCAACATTTTTTAATTATTCAGAATCAGGACAAGCATTGAGCACTCCTAGATCCACAAGGAGTTAAACTGCTTAAAGGAGCAAACTGCTCTCAGCCTGTCCTGTAATGGGCTGTGTGCCCAGGGATAATTCATTTAGCCTCTCTGTATCTCAGTCTCCTCATCTGTAAGGTTGGAGTAGGACGATCACTGAGGGTCCTTTCATGCTTATGTTCCTGTTGGAACTGACAAAGATTCTTATTAGTGTTAATATTGCAAATCCAGATCTCAGTCTTTTATAAACAGCTGGATATGAGTTTGTTTTGTACTTAGAATTTAACCTTATGAACTAGAAAAATTTGAGAATAGTTCTGTGACATGATACTATAACTTTAACTGAAAATACTGCCTTTATTCTGTGGCCTTAATCCAAAACGCCTGTGAGACTAGCAGCTTGTGGCAGGAGTCAAAATGAATGTGTTGGTTTGGATAGACATTGGTGACAAATTCAAGTTTCCTGGCAACAGCTACATCAGATCTGTTTAATCTGGGAAAGTGAGAATGAGATTAAGCAGACAATTAGGAAATTAGCAGGAAGAGTATAAATTATTACATGAACTCTGCCATGAAAATCTAAAGTATTTCTAGCTGCTAAACTTGTTCCACACTGACACAAAGTGCCAGCCATTCTATAAAGAGAGAAAAAAGAGATGAGTGAATGTGAAAAAAACAAAAAACAATCAGAGCAGGAGAGAGGAAAGCCGTGCTTCTCAAAGGATGTGGGGCTCTGTAAGCACGCTTGGAGACCTTCCCACCCCTCATTCTGCTGCATTCAGAGTGGCGCTGCCACTCTGCCAGCCAGGGAGCCCGTAACCCATTCTCTCTGGTGCGAAGGGGCAGAATCAAGTGAAAAGATTTAAAAGAATATAAATTGACTACTGAATTTCCTTTAAGTATTATTCATACTTTAAAATTGATTCCTATTGAAGTAGCAAATTGATTTTGCAGAATGGCTTTTGGATCTTTTTTGCACTGTTAAAAACTGTAGGCAGATTTTTATTTATTTATTTATTTTTTATTTTTTTACTGTGGTTATGTGTGTGGATATATCTTGGTCTGTACAGATAATATCTTTGCTGCAACGTCTTTCTTTACTCCCTGAAACTATGGTTCATCAACTTTTCCTTTCCGTCGAAGTGTGCAGAGTGGAGGAAAACAGTGGTATGGCATGACAGTCTTGCTCCTGAATTCTTTTTAGAGCACAGGAAGCTGAGTTCACTCTTTTCTCTCTTTCCTCTTCTATAACCCCTTCTTTTTTTCCCTTAGCACTCATGAATAGTGCACAGCAAAAATGCCCCGTGGAAGAGGTATGTTCGTGACAATAAATAATATGATGTCTTTTACAAGTGCTGTGTCTGCTGATTCTGGCTTTAGTGATGGTGATGATGTGGTTGTAGTACACTCAGTGATCCTCTGACTTAATGAAACTATTTTTACAAATCAGACACACCACTTTAGCCTCTCTGTCCTTTTATTCTAGTAGCCAAAATGCACCTCAGCTTGATTTAACTCTCGTTAAAAATGTAATAGTCAAACCAGTTGATAATATGAATACAGGACATCCTCCAGCTTGGGGTCCAAGGGTTTGGGTTTCAAATGTTGAGTTTGCTTTGACAGCCCAGAGTAGGTTCAGCCTTCAGAGCTCCAACCCCACCCGCCTTAATTTCATCCTCACTTTCACCTCTACTCCTGCCTCCTTAGTTTCATCAGCTTCCTTCTTCATAGAGAATCAGAAGTTAATAGGAGGGAAAAAGAAAAGATTCATACTTTCAACCTTTTCAAATTAGAAGAATTGGTAAAGTAGAGTATTGGAGAGATATAAAAGCAACTAGTAGAAACAGTTTATAGCTGAAACAAATTCCGCTTGTGTCCAACTCATTACACTATAGTATTTGTAGATTTTTTTAAAAAGAATTTTTAGAATGTGCTCCTTGAAAATAGAGGTAATGTTCTCTATTGAACATATGTGTAATATGTGACCCTATATATGACATATTTTCCAGATCATCTGATTAAGATGTAATTTAATTTTAAAATAAAATTGAAAAAAATTTAAATGGCCTAGTTTTTGAGTTTAAGAATTCAAGAAGTCAGTGCTGCATATACAATAATACATGCTATAAACATGTTTATAAAAATGATATGAACATTTTTTACATTTCTTATCTCTTAATATAAGTAATTAACAACTTAAAGGTTGTAAAACTCCAGGTTAAGTTAGAAAATAGATGAAAATTTGACCACCATCACTCTCTTTACAATAAAGCTATAAACAAATACTACAAAAGTATAGTCATGGGTCAGAATAGATATTTAAAAATATTTTCTGCCCACTCTTATTTCATGTCATAATGCTCTTAACATGCAATTTTTGCCTAATTGTCTTCTCTGTTCATTCTTTAAATTATTTTCAGAACTGCAAAATGTGCTTTGGGGAGTTTTTGAAATCTATGTTTCTTTATGAAATTCAAATATATAACTATAATTAACCTTATACCATATGAACGATTATTTTGATTTGCTTTTCTATTATGGATGTTAAAATCCATACATTCTATATGATGGCAAGTATGTCATTTTTTCCCAATAATATAACCTATAAAAATTTAAACCTCTATTGAATGTACAAATTTTGTACTATATCAATTTATTTTTTTCTTTTACAGCTTCTCGGACTTCTATTCAGAGTGAGCTTCATCGAGATAGGAGGTATGGTTATTATTTATAATAGAGGACACCTATTCTGCTAATGAAATAAAAGTGTATTACAGCAAATTAAATGTTTCTCTTTCATAAGCAGTGTATTATAGTGTTCTGCCTCATCGATACATTTCCTGAATTAATCTGTAAATTTGAATGATGAAGTCTGGGAAAAGAAGCAACACAAGCCTAAAAATGTACTTTTGACAGCATTATTTACTGACATCAGTTTAAAAATGTTTATTAAGCAACTGCTATGTGTAAAGCATTGTTAGAACTGCTTCAAAGAAATGCTTTGTACCTCGTAGCTACTTGGTAGATAAATGGATGGGTTATAGGATAGGAAATTGAGTGGAAGAATAAAAGAAAAGAGGCAGGCAGTCTGGATAGGTAGCTGGATGAATAAATGGCAGATGGTTGGGTGGAGAAAGGGAAGGAGGGGAGAAGAGAGGAATGAGTTGCTGGATAGATAGAAGAAAGGACCAATAGAGAGGCAGATAGAGAGGGTTGAATGGAATAAAAGGTGGATGAATAGATGGGTGAATTTTTTTATAAGACATGGTCCTTGCTTTCAAATTTCTTAACGATATAATATAGGGGAATGAAGAACAAGGACTTTAGAGTCAGACATTACCAAGTTCAAATCCTGACTACGTTTTCATCATGTGACCTCGGGCAAGCTACTTAACCTTTCTTAGTTTTAATATCCCTATTTTTAAAATGGTGCTAACCATACCTACCTCATAGGTTGTCACAGCGATTAATGCAGGTAAAGTGGTTAACATTTATTAACTAGTAACTCTTATTATTTAGTTAGACAAAAGCTATAAACCGAGGTTCTTAAGTAATACCAGTCAAGTTTAATCAGTGAGCAGGTTCTACTGTTTCACAAGGTAGCATGAGAGAGTATGTGCATGATGATGGCAGTGCTTTTTTGTTTTTGTTTTTGTTTTCCATGGAATACCAGAGAAAGGAAGAGAGTATCATCATCCCTATTTGTTAGATGAGAAAATTGAGGCTCAGAAAGGTTGGTTGATTTGTTTAGTCACACAGTTGGTATTTGTTAGGAAATTGAGTTGAAGGAAGATTTAAACATTAAACTGTAGAATCAGTCAGGTTAAGAAAATGATGAAAGAATCGACGCCTAAGTCACTGTGGCTCTTCAGAACTGACCAGGAACACAAACAGACACATCATGGTCTAGAAGCAAACATGTAAACTCTAAACACTTAAAGATCACTTTGAATTGGGACAGAGGTGGAATGAGGAGGAAGAAGATATTCTATTTATATGGTATCATTTCAGAGTATATACTTTATAATAACAGAAAACTAAAGAATTTTATTTGACCAGTGCACTTTTCTACCTTACGATATATTTATGTTTGTGCAGAGCCCTGGAATGAAAAGGTTGTATGAGCCTTACTTATTCATTGTTCTTATCAACCAAGACAGAATTAAGTGTGCTTAGGCTACATCTCTAATTTTTTGAGGCCAAAATCATAGAGGATGACTGTCATTTGATCCTTTGAAGCCTACCTGGGTGTACTGTTAGAGATAGCCCAGGCCAGACAGGTCACTTCTATGACTCTGGTGGCTCTTATGTCCTTTTTGTTGGTGGTGGTTGCTTTTATGAAGCTTTGAACATCTGCAAATAGACAATAGCTTGTTACTAACCTGCAAAACCTCACTGAGGCTTCTGTCTGCTAGGCGCCCAGAGATCACCATTGTGGCAGCTGAGCCACTGAGACCGGCCTCCTGGTTTTCAGGAGCCCCACCCCCAGGACTGGGATTTCCTCCATCCACTGCAGCAGGCCCTTGGAGACCCAATGAGCTGGTTCCTGCCGAGGTGAATAAGTACTCTGTTATCTCTTTGTATTTTATTTTAAAAGTGAAGTTCAAAGAAAAGAACAGTGAGACTATTAACATGTTGGCTATCACTCATAGATGTCTAAAATCTTTGGTCTTTATTTTGCAGCTCCCACCATCTTATGAACAAGTCATAAAAGAAATCAACCAAGTTCAAGTTAATACCACAAATAATAATAATGCTGCTGCCACTCCGAGGCACACTATCACTTCTGCAACTCAGACTGACTTTTCGGAAGAAATAGACAACGATCTGCCTCAAAGTAATGCAAGTAATTTGTCTTCTCTAATTCTGACCTAGTTCTAGGGAATAAATCAGTAGGCTTTAGCCTTTAAAATAATTTGCAATTTGTACATAATTCATTGAGCTCTCCTTCCCAGTCAGTGTGAACGTGTGAGCTTTCTGTACTTGGGTTTGCTGTGATAATTATAATAGCTCATTATCATGAGCTGCAGCCCTAATCTCTTGGGTTCACCCTAGTTCATGTGACAAAAACATCATCCTTTAAACTCATGGTTGGTATTACTGCTGATGCCCTTTATTTCCATTGAGAAGGATGTTATATTTAGCAACTTAAACTTGATAGGTTGCTAAAGATGATTGTCCTATTAGGCTTTTAAAAAGCATTGTTTTAGGTTAGTAGATGAGAGTAAATTTGGAAAAGTAAAGCAAGAATTGTTGGAATTTTGACAAGAGAGAGGAATGGTTTGTGTGATAAGTCTACTAAGAATCAGAAATTTAATGGTGTTTTAAACTAATACATAATGAATGTTTGTTATATGAATGAATTTAACTTGGAGAATACTCCTGCAGGAAGCTGAGTATAAACATTTCCCCCATTGATTTTGGAGTTACTTTTTACTAAGAAAACCAAAATCCCTTGCTATTTTACATGTATATTTTTAAAATCTGTGTGTCTTCTATTATTTTTCCTTTCAATATTGCAACTTTTTTTTGTTCTTTTTGGTCTCGTCAGCACTACAGGCACCTCTTAAACCTCTTCAGCCTTCTCCAGTTGTCTCAGACATTGATCTGCCAACAAATGTGGCACCTTTAATAGTCTTTGATATTTCTGAAGAACAGAATTGTCTAGAAAACTCCAGTGCTACAAGATGTCCAGTGCCAAAACCAAGATCAAAAAGCAACCTCAGACCAGTAGCCAGAGATACTCATGTTAAAGAGCAGAATCACCAGAAAATCAGCCCAGTGGTCACAGGAGAAGAATCACCCCCACGCCGGCCGCACTCCGTGTTGGACTTGAATGGTCAGGCAGTGATGAACATTATGAACACAGAACGAAGCCAAAATAGTATTGTTTCACAGATCAAAGCCTTCGATAGTCAGACAAATACAGAAACCTCAGGACCGCCCAAAAGACCAGAGATTGCCCCCCGCACACTCCCTCCAAGGCCTGCCGTGGCCCCCAAACCAACTGCTACCAGAGCTTGTGGAGGATCGGACTCCTGGAATGAAAACAGATTCAATGTGGCCTCTAGGGAAGGGCTCACCCCACACTTTCCCCCGAAAGAAGCAGGGAGCATCCCAGTAACCAAACCTGAATTGCCAAAGAAACCAAATCCTGGCCTTACACGAAGCATTAATCATGAGATTCCAGGTGGAGGGTCTGTGTCTGACAGCCCTGATGGTGGAAAGAAAGTTCCAACTCCTGCTCCTCGGCCTTTGCTGCCGAAGAAATCAGTTTCCTCAGAAAACTCCACCTACCCTGCAGCTTTGCTGAAACCAGTCACTGTTCCTCCCCGACTGTCAGTGGCATCACAAGCCAAAGCATTCAGGTCACTGGGTGAAGGACCCTCGGCCAGTCCCCCAGTTCCAGGTCTGCAGAGCAAGCCTCCAGGGGACATCGACCTCATCAGTTTCGATGATGATGTTCTACCCACCCCATCTGGGAACCTGGTTGAAGACTCTGTTGGTTCAGAGGTGGTTCTGGGTGAGTAAGAATCAGAAGTGGAGGGGACTCTTGAATGACACTTGCTGTTTTAGTTTCCAGGACGTAAGTTATTGAGGTATGTATGTGCATGTGTGTGCACATGCATGTGTGTATACAGACAGGAAGAAACACAGAGAGATTAAAAAACATGGAACCGGATGGGAGATGGAAATGGAGAGGAAAGGGGATATGGAGACAGAAGGAGGGAGACACACACACTGATCACTATTATCTGAGCCAGGAATGAGCAGACTGAGATTAGGAACTAAACTAGATGTAAGGCTGACTCCCTTACTCTGGCAGGTGGAGATTCAGGCATTAGAAGGTTGCAGGGGAAAGTTCTCATAGATGGGAAGTCATGCAGCGGCCTCAGAAGGGCTCCTCAGATTGAACCAGCCCCACTGGGAGTGCTGGGAGAGGGACCAGCCCTGGGAGAACTCTGGCAAGAGCAATGCAAGGAGTGAGGATCCAGCCATATGGTGCAATTTTTTTTTCCCATAATATTCACAGAACCTCTTCCCTAGGGAATGCAAAGTTTTGTAAATAAAATACAACAGTTTTAAGTTTCCTGCCAAGATCAGGACAATTAAATTTCCCAAGAGGCAGAGAGTATGTTTTTTGTTTTTATTTTTTTGTCATACTGTTCAATGGAGGGTGTGATGGTAAAGCTTATCTTTGATTTGTCAAACTAATCTCTTCTACTTGTCATTAATAAGATTCCTTTTACTGCTATTTACTTATTTGGGTAAAATTTGTGAACATATAAGCTTGATAGTATTTCCAAAAGGTTGAAAATACTCAAAAGTTGTCATCTTATAAATGTTTAACATGAATCAAAATGGTATAAGCTCTGTGATTCAAAACTGGATTCTGCACAGCACGGGTGTATTTTAAATGATAACAAACACATATTTGTTAAACATTTATTATGCACATAACATGGTAACTGGCTATAGCATGCCTCTTGTCCATAAGGAGTGTTAGAATATATTGCGTTTCTACAGTATTCCAAGCCCTCTGTTAGGTACCCTGACATACATTATTTAATTTAATGCTTACAGTAACCTTCTACAAGGTATCATTAGCTTAAACTTGCAGATGAAGAAAACAAGGCTGAGAGACATCAATGGGTTACTTGCCCAGTGTCATAAAACTACAACTTTCCATGGCAAGATTCAAACTCAGTCTTTTTAAGCCTAGTTTTTTTACTATATCATGTTGTCCAACATTTTCATGAATCTTTAAACCATGTAACACATTAAAAACTTTTCAAGTCTTTGTTATATCATTTTCTTATTTAAACCTCTTTGGTGTTACAAGGTTCAAGGTAGGGCAGGGATGGGTAAATCCAACAGCAGAAAGCTGCTTAAGGTGTTGAAACTACTAGTATAGGCCAAAGAAATATCACTGTTTGTGGAAACTCCTAGATTCTGTGGTGATGGCAACTTGGTTAGTAATTGCTGAGACCTTATTCTGTGTCATTAAGCAGATAATTATGTCATCTTGAAAAGAGGAAGGTCCACAGTATACATTCGACATGAATACAGTGTCAGGCTTCACTCAGCCTTTTCTGTTTCTTGATTTCTACCGCTTCATTGCACAACATGTAATTTTCAAGGTAGTCTTTTAGCAAAGTGTGTAGTTTGCTTGCCCTACCTGACCAAGCATTGCTCTTGACTGTGGAGTTGTACTGAACACTTGATGTTCTTTCTAAACCTGATCCTCTTCCTATGTTCTGCACCTCACTTAGTGACATCATCACACACCCCGCCTTCCCTAGGGAATCCTAGAGATCATCCTTGGGTCTTCCTACCTGTCACACAGTGGCTGGTTGTTTGGTCTTGGAGTCAGACTGGCCAGGATCTACTGCTTAATTGGTATGTGACCCTGGGCAATTTACTTAACCCCGTGAGTGCTTCGATGTCCTCATCTGTAAACACGGATAATAATACTCATGTTTTACAGATGTGATTATGTGGATTCCATGTAATTATGCAGGAAAGCCCTATCACGTAGTCTGAAGTATAGTGAGTGCTTATTAAACAATATTTGTAGTCTTTGCCCTTCACATCCAATTAGTTACCAACTCCTGCTGGTTTTATCTTCCGAATAGTTCTTGAATCTTCCTCTCATTTCCGCCCCTCCTGCTACTGCCCCGTTTTAGGCCCTTACACCCAAATTACCTCAGTGGTCTCCTACAACTGTTCCTGCTGCTTCCTCAAACCCCTCGTCCACGTTATAGCTACCGGAGCGATTGTTCTGGAGTGTACATTGGACCTTGTTACCTCTCTGCTTAGTGCCATCTAGAGGCCTTCGGGATCACCTCTGAATTCCTCAACATGGAGAGGTTTTTGTTTCTTTATTGATTTGGGCTGTGTGACTTTTTGATGGTATATCAACAGCATTGTCTTTGTAAATAAAGGATTATGGCTTAATCATCGTGGTATCAGCCAGAAACTGGGAGAGGAACAGAAGAGAAAGGAGAGACGCTCACAAATATGTCTTTCCCTCTCTTTCTCTTCCCTAAAAAATAAAGAAAATTTAATAAAATAGTTTTCATTAAATGAAGTTGCTGAATTAATCTCAGGAAATAGAGATCAGAAAATACCAAAGCTATGAAAACATTGTAAAGATTAGGAAAATTATTAAAGGAAAACTCATAAAACAGTCAATTTAATATTGGATTCATTTCGTGGGTAGAATGCCTTCCAGGTCAATGTAATGGAACTGAGAAGTATTAGCAATTCTTCTTCACACCTTTACAAATCATACTCAGTTGTCAAAAAAAAAAAAGCAGAAGGCTTCTGCTGTCAGCCCCATTACACAGACCAAAATAATAGTCTAGCCACCAATTTCTGCCATTAACAGAACTCAAGGGAAAGAAGTGACAGAAAAGCAAGCCAAGGATGGTGAATCTAATTATGATGACAAGCATATTATTAAGACAGGTAATGGACAGAAAACTACATTATCATCAATGTTTTTCTCAACTCAGTAATGAAGAGCATGTGGCTGTAGGTGTAAAGGGGCCTGCTTGTTTGGCAGCAGGTGGAGAATAATTGGTTGTTTGTGTGAGGGACTAGAAGGAGGGCAGAATAAACACTGCAAACAAAAGTAGAGAAAATGCCATTGACTTGCCTTAGATTTAGATAGGAGATTCTTTTAGAGATGCTTTGTATTTTTTTATGTAGAAGCAAGAGCAAACAGTTTGTGAAAGAGAGGTTTATGGTACTGCAGTTCTTAACCCTTTCTGGATCACAGAACTCAGAATCTGATTCGCTTGTGAATCTTCTCGCCCTTGAAAAAAGCCCTTGTGCTCATGTATGCACAATTGAAGGTATTATTTCCAGAGCTTCACAGCCCTATTCTTGGACCCCATATTAAGGATTTCTACTACAAAATGTTGGAGATAACATTCGTTGGACTGCTTAAATAAATTGTAGTACATCCATACAATGGAGTATTGTGCGGTAATTACAAAGGAGGTAGAACACCTATCTCCTGTTGTGGACCAACCTCCAAGATATTGTTAGGTGAAAAATGCATGGTACAGATAGTATTCATGGTATTTTAGTTACTGTCGGTGTTAAAACACACACACACACACACACACACACACACACACAAGAATATGCGATGTCTTTTGGAAAGATGTATAAAAAATTGGTAACAAAAATTGTCTTTTCTGGGAGAACTGGGTAGGCAGGAGAGCATGGGAGAACCTGGTTTTCAAATAGCTGAACATAAGCAAATTTAAGGTGAAAGAAACTGAGAGTTACCTCTTGTCATTTTTGCCACGAACAGAGAACAGCCTCCCGCACTGATCTTCAGCCTTATGCTGAGTAGGAATGTTATAAAAATAGTACCATTTCCTAAAGCTATATTCTTCAAAGTTACAAATAAAAGCTAATTATTATGAACTAAATATATCTAAATTTGACAAATTCAAAAATATATTATTTCTTTATTATTTCCTATTAAATAGAATCGCTGAGGAATAGTATCAGAAAGATAATTTTTATTTTTCTAGTTTATGGAAAATTTTATGGCCATTACTACTTTGAAAAAGCAACAAAAGAGATAAGAATTTTCACTTTCCCCCACCCCCTTATTTTTAAGTGGTTTTTGGTTTGGTTTATTAGGTAAGGGTGTTATTTCAACTTTATCTTGTAACCTTTTTCTTGTTATTGAATTCATTTTATTGGATTTTTTTTCAATTACAAAGTAACATATATTTGCTATAACAAGTCAAATAGTATAAACATTTAGTAAAATAAAAAAAAAAAATTAACCTATCCTCAGTCCATCCAAATCCCCAGAGTAACCAGTGTGAGCAATGTTGTATGTAGCCTTCTGTGCCTTTGGACATTCCAAACCAAAGCATACAAACATGTACACATAGTTGGACTTTTCCCTGTTTTTTTTAAAAAAAAATTTATGATACTGTACTCATTACTCAGCAGCTTGCATTTTTCATTTGACAGTGAGATTTATGGACTTCTCTTTGGGCCGGTAGATCTAAGTCCACTCCTCGTTTCCTTATACCTGCCTGAGTGCATCATAGCTGATTCAGCGCATCCCCTGTTGATGGGCATTTAGGTTGTTTTATTTGTTTTTAAGCTTTTGGATTTTTT